TGGTTAAAATGAAAAGAAATGTGATTTCTTCGCGTGTACATGTGAAAAAAAGAGGTTAGGGAGAAAGTGAGGAGGAAAGTGTAAGTGTCACGTAGCTTGGTGAGAAGGAGTAAGTGTCATTTAACTTAGCGAAGAAAAATGTAAATATCACATAGCTTGGTGAGGAGACGGTTGAATGAGTAAGGTAATCTCTTTGAAGCCGTGTGCGTCGTAAACTGCTGTCGCATGTATCTGTCTCTATCTCCCTACGGCTTTTGTTCGCCTAGAGACTTTACTTAAATAGCCTTCAAATGGATCACGAAGCATGTTTTGTTTTATTGTCGGCGGGAATGCGGTCCATTGGTTTAAAAATAAAAGTTAAATATTTATTTTCAAATGATTAATTTATTAACCGGAAGGATGTGTGGATCCTGTGACTCAGAAACAATTTTTTGTCATTTGATGATTGACTGTCTCAGTGTTTATTTCCGTCTTTGCTCCATGCTTTTACACTCCCAGCAGCTCCATGCGTCTTAGTGGCATTACCGCCTTGCTTGGAGTGAATTGATTAAAAACAATGAAAGGTACGAACCCATTTTTTTGTTTACAGTTAAAGGTTAAAGTTCAGGGCTCGTTGGACCCATTAGTCAAGGGAGGGCAACAGATACTTGAAGAATGATAACTCCGAATTCAACCTACGCCCCCACATCAACATGTCATGATGTCTTATCGTTTGCCACGTTTGACAGAATGGGAAGAGGCCTTTGTTTTGCACTGGACTGAAAAAATGGAGAAAAACTGCCCATAGACATAAATAAATGAAGTAAATATAATAGAATTATGAAGGTTATATGGATACAATGCGTTACTAAGTGACGTGGTAACGGTGGCGATATATCAATAACAATATAGCGATATTAACTCCACCTAGCGGCAGTTGAAAGGGTTCTACATACGCAGTTGTTATCTGCTGTTGTCATTGAAAAATTTCTCTTACTGGTTGCTTCCTCCGCCTTCTTTTTCCGGTGTGTATATCCTTAATTTTCTATATTATCAGTAGGAGGCGTTGGAGGATTATTTTTTTTCTTTCAATCTTTTTTATTTTTTAATCTTCATCGTAAATATCTTCCATATTAAATCATTTTTTTTTCTTCTTCTAATTCTCTTTTCTTTTTATATTACAAGATCGTTATCATTTTCTCCCAGTTACTTTATTCTTTCTTTCTTGTCTCTTTTGCGTTTTCTTCTTTCTTTCTTTCTTTCTTTCGTTCTTTCTTTCTTTCTTTCTTAGACTCTATCTTCGAACCACACACGTACACACTTCTTTCTTTCTTTCTTTCGTTCTTTCTTTCTTTCTAGTTGTCTCTTATGGGTTTTGTTCTTTGCTTCCGTTTTTTTCTTTTTTCCTTTTTCTTTCGTCTTCTTTCTTTTTTATTTCTCTTCCATCTTTCTTTCTTTCTTTCTTAGACTCTATCTTCGAACCACACACGTACACACTTCTCTCTTTCTTTCTTTCTTTCTTTCTTTCTTTCTTTCTTTCTTTCTTTCTTTCTTTCTTTCCAGCTTTGTTCTTTGCTTCCTTTCCTCTCTTTCTTTTTTTATTATTCTTCCGTCTTTCTTTCTTTCTTTCTTTCTTTCTTTCTTTCTTTCTGTTTTATTCAAACATCACTCTATTTCACTTCCGTTTTCAGATTCTCTCCTCAACAGACATCGATCTTCTTTCCATTTTCTTTTCCGATTTTCTCGTCTTTCTTTCTTTTTCTTTCTAATTCTCACTTTTCGATTTTGTTATTGCTTCCTTTCTTTTTTTTCTTTCATCTTTCTTTCTTTTTTTTATTTTTGTTCCGTCTTTCTTTCTTTCTTTGCTTTATTCAAACATCACTCTCTTTCTTTTTTTCAGATTCTGTCGTCTTTCTTTCTTTTTCTTTCTAATTATCTCTTTTGGGTTTTGTTCTATGCTTACTTTCTTGCTTTTGCTTTTTTTTTCTATTCCATTTTCTTTCATTTTTTTCATCTTTTTTTTTATCATTTTTTCTTTTCTTTTCTTTCTTTCTTTCTTTCTTTCTTTCTTTCTTTCTTTCTAATTGTTTCTTTCGGGTTTTGTTTTTGTTACCTTTCTTTTCTTTTTTTCTTTTTTCTTTCGTCTTCTTTCTTTATTATTTTTCTTCCATCTTTCTTTCTTTCTTTCTTTCTTTCTTTCTTTCTAATTGTCTCTTTCAAGCTTTGTTCTTTTCTTCCTTTCTTTTCTTTTTCCTTTTTCTTTCATCTTCTCTCTTTCTTTTTTATTTTTCTTCCGTCTTTCTTTCTTTCTTTTTTCTTTCTTTCTTTTCTTTATTCAAACCTCACTCTATTTCATTTTTGTTTTCAGATTCTCTCCTCTTGCTTCCTTTCTTTCTTTTTCTTTCTAATTGTCTCTTTCGGGCTTTGTTCTTTGCTTCTTTTCTTTTTTTCTTTCGTATTTCTTTCTTTCTTTCCTTTCTTTCTTTGCTTTCTTTCTTTCTTAGCTTTATTCAAACATTAATCTTCTTTCCATTTTCTTTTCACATTTTCTTGTCTTTCTTTCTTTTTCTTCCTAATTCTCTCTTTTCGATTTTGTTCTGTGCTTCCTGTCTTTTTTTTCTTTCATCTTTCTTTTTTTTTTTTTTTCTTCCGTCTTTCTTTCTTTCTTTACTTTATTCAAACATCACTCTCTTTCTTTTTTTCAGATTCTGTCGTCTTTCTTTTTCATTCTAATTATCTCTTTTGGGTTTTGTTCTTTGCTTACTTTCTTGCTTTTTTTTCTATTCCATTTTCATTCATTTTTTTTCATCTTTTTTCTATCATTCTTTTCTCTTTCTTTCTTTCTTTCTTTCTTTCTTTCTTTCTGTTTTATTTTCATTTTTCGTCTGCTTCTTACATTTCTTCTTTCTTTTTTTTCCCCTTATACTTTTCTTTTCCTGGAAAACTATTTTATCCTCTTCATCCACAATTTTAACAACCTATTTTTCCTTTTCTCTCTCATTGATCGTTTTTTTTTTAATTATTTTCACAATTCTTCAAGCATTTTCTTTCTCTTTTAATTTCTTGCTACGCCTCTGTACCATTTGCTCTTAATCCCTGACCATGAATCGATCTTATATATCGATCAACATTTGATCTTTGGCTAAGAATTAATGGATTTTTTTTATCTCCCTTGCGCTTATGTTAACAGATTAGTCAAACGAAACCTCACGCATTTACCTACTTTTCACATATATATTTTCATCCTGTTCAAGGCCTTAGAGCCACTCGAGATAGAGGGTTATAGTGTAAAAGGCGCAGTTTATGAGAATTTGTGATGAAGATAAAGGTTAATCCTAGACTTAAACAGATTAAGATTGTAGTGTTCGGGGAAACATCCTCTTGGGAGTCGGTTCCATAAATCCGCGGTTCATGAAGAAGCTGTTCGAGTGGAACTTACATATCACTAATGGAATACGAAGGGAATGAAGGTGGCTCGCTACAATGAGCGTGGCATGGCGGTTCCTAGCCGTGAAGGTTAAAACTAGTGGAACTAAGGAATGTAGTTCGTATGAGCATTTTTACTGTAAATAGAGGTAGAGCAGTGAAAGACTTGCGACTTTTCGTCCGTGGGGAAAGGGGTAATAGAGGGGGGGGGTAATTCATCGCCCACAAGGAAGTGGAGACCCTTTTGGATTCTATCAAGCCTGAAAACTGAAGATTGGAGAGCCCTTGCCCATATATGGAAACAGTCCTTCATTTTCAGCCTGAACTGGTTCTTCAACGGACAATAAAGGGTATGCTTACATTCCTATAAATACAGTAGTGAATACTGTATGTGTTGGTCTGGGGTCCGCAGTTGGAGATTCATCTTCAGCTATATTTAGCTATCCCCCCACGTGGGATTGAATGTGGCACAAGGCCGAGTTTAATGTGGGTCCGACTAGGCGGGTTCGAGAGCTGTCAACGTCCCCGAACGAAACCTTGCCCTTCGGCAAAGCTTCGTCCGGGTTCCTCCCTGCTAATGCAGAGAGTTAGACAGACGGCGGTTGCTGTAACTTTAATACAGCTATAATCTATTCATCTTCAGCCGGGATGGTTAAGCTCTCTGCCTCCGGACAGAGAGCATCCTCAAACGGGGGCTATGTCGAAGGGCAGAGTCTCGTCTCAGGAAACAGCTACCCGACCCTGTTTTATTTTGGCTGAGACTACGGGTTCGGATACCCCACATTAAATTTTGGCCTTGAACCACATCTGACCACGTGGGGTGGTTGTTAGATATTGTCTGCGGTCTGCAGTTGAGATTCATTGTGAAATTAACTTGACTCACTTCTAGCAGTTGAGTACTTCTTGTACGCGCCGCTGGCGAATCTTATGTGTTGTTCGTGTCTTATCAGTAGTCAGGTACTTACTGGAGCGGTGCAGAGAACTTACCATTTTTTCAGCATCTTTAATCCATATGGGTTGTGCTTAAGTCCCAAATAGGTGCTCAAAGCACAGGACCTCCCTGACTGATAAAACACCCGTTCATCCTAATAGATGAAAACTCAGGGTCCGTTCGATTATGTGAACAATATCATTGTTTATTGAGTTATAGTTCATTTACCAATAATCCATGACGGTAATGGTTGAAGAGGAAAGACCAAACTAAACGCGACCACCTCCAAAGACCCCAACAGCGGATTAGCCAAAGATCTACACGATTAGAATGGTCAAACCAGTGGAAGGCAGGGCCAGTCGGGCTGGCGTAAGCAAAGCGGACCTTGACAGACCAAGCATCCGACAGCACAGTGCAACCAGAGTCGACAGCGATAAGTACTGAACATTATTACATTCCTGATCAAAAATTTAGGACCACTTGAAAAAAATTTAAAAAAAAAATTTTAAACATTAAAAATTTTTTAAACATTTCTTATTTAAGGTTACTAATTTTATAATCTAAAAGGTTATGTAGATAAAAAGTTATAATCCGAATATTTTATTGAGAAATTGACATTTTTATAAAATGAGGTGTTTTACACTTGATCAAAATTATAAGACCAGAGACAAAAATTCTACGAAATTGTAAGAAAAGTGTACGAAAACATTCAACTACCAAATTTAATAATGAGTTCTACCTCCACTGGTTTTGATGACTTCAAAAATTCTTTGGGACATGCTAGAAATTAGTGTTTCCATTAATCTGCGAGGAATATTGCTCCAGCTTCTGAAGATAGCTTCATGAAGTTCATTTTTTGTTGAATATTGTTTGCCATTTCGATAAACATCTCTTGCCATCCATCCCCAAACATTTTCAATTGGGTTCAAGTCCGACGAGCATGCAGGATGTCTCAAGAGATTGACCCCATTTTCTTGTAGAAAGGTTAAGGTCCGGCATGCAGCGTGGATTGCAGCATTATCCTGTTGGAATAACCACCCATCCCCACAGAAACAATGGCCGTCCGTCACCAACGATGCTTTTTGTAGCATGCTAACATAACCAGCCGCTGTCTGACGACCCTGCACCCACCTGGAGTTCCATCGTCCCTCTGTAAGAAAAGGCACCCCCATACCATTAGGGATCCTCCACCACTATGACGTGTGGAGAAAATTTAAGGAGGCATGTTTTTGTTATGCCAATATCGTTGGAAGCCATCAGGACCATCTAGATTGAATTTTTTCTCATCAGAAAACAGGATTTTCTTCCGCTTCTCAATGTCCCATGTTTGGTAATCACAACCAAACCATAAACGGTTCACTTTGTGACGTGGAAGCAGCCGAGGAATTTGTTTGCGCTTCTTATTTACCAAGCCCTTTTGTCGTAAGTGTCATCTGATGGTTACTGGACTGCAATCAGCATCTGTGGCTGCCTTAATTTGACTAGAAGAAAGTCCACTGGCTTTCACAACAACCCGTTTTATTTTCCTACTCAATGCTGGAGAAATTTTGGGGGGCCTACCAGTAGACTTTGCGTTTCCATAATTCGCACTGTCCTTTAGAAAGTTGCAAATCACAGTTTTACTGCGATTTACCTTAGCTGCGATCGCTCGCTGTGACACACCTTGATTATGGAAATGTAGAATTCGAGCATGCTCAACTTCGGTAAGTTTCCTTGCTTTAGGCATGGTGACATCTTTACCCGGTGATTGCTAATCTCTAACTGAACTAAAAACATTGGAATTACCCTAGATCTAACAATTTATACCCATCTGGTCTTATAATTGTAAAAGTGTAAAACGCCTCATTTTATAAAAATGTCCATTTCTGAATAAATTGATCGGATTATAACTTTTTGTCTCCATAACCTTTTAGATTATAGAATTAGTAACCTTAAGTAAGAAAAATTTTATAATGTATCCATGACAAACAGTCTCTTATAAAAAAAATTTTCAAGTGGTCTTAAATGTTTGATCAAGAGTGTATACCTAATTCCATAATATATATATATATATATATATATATATATATATATATATATATGACGGTAAGGTCGAGGAGGAGAGACCAGATTGAACGCGATCAACTCCGAAGACCCCAAGAGCGGAATAGGTAAAGATCTACACGATTTTAACGGTCAAACCGGCGGAAGAGGGCAGCATCAGTCGGGCTGGCGTAACCAAGGTAGACCTTGACAGACCAAGCAGCCGACAGAATCCAGATTTCGCCTGCCTCAATCCCCCTTTGAGCCGCAAGAGAGGCGCTTCTGGCCAAGTGGGCTGGCTTCTCCGTCGCGCATTCACGGGAATGGTGTCGTCAAAGTCTCTTTGGTTAAGAGCCGCTTCCGCCTTCGCCACCAAAGGGTTGAGAAAGTTAGGGAGGGTGTTCGGATGCAAGTGGTTACCGATAACCAATGGTTATGATAATGGTATGATAATCTAAGAAAGTTGGTTCACTGTGCTGTATCAGACAATTTTTCTTCTCGGAATCCATTGTGCACATTTAGAAATCTACCATCCGTTCGTGCATTGAATATTGGTGCCATATCTAGTCTGATGCTTCCTACTAGACATCCCGAAAATCTTGACAAAATTCAAACAAGGATCTGTAATGAATTCGATTCTGATCTGGCATCTCGACTTCAGTTATTTTCTCACCGATGTGACACGGCTTCCCTCTGTCTTTTCTGCAAATATTTTTATAGCAATTGTTCTGATGAGCTTTGGTGCTTCGACTGCTTGAATTGAGGCGTACTGCTAGATTGGCAACTAGGTCTCGCCGTTTTACTGTTCAACTACTTAGATGTAACCGTATGTTCTATTCTAATAGTTCCTTCCTCCACTTCTCGCCTGTGGAACTCGCTTCCGATTTCTTGCTTCCCTTCCAACTACAATCTCAAAAATTTTAAATGCAACACCAGTCTCAATCTTCTGTCTTTATGAAACCTGTTCTTTCTCCTCACCTTTCCTCACTAACGTTTTTTTCTCCCTCTCTTTTACTCCTTTGCGTCCTAGTGGCATTATCGCCTTGCTGGGGATGAAATGATAAAAAAGATCTTGTTTTGGTCTTGTTTTGAATGATGAACATCTAAAAACTTGCCCGATAGTATGCTTGCTCGGTTTAGCG